GTAGGGAAAAAAATCCCAAAACAGCTAAATCAGTGCTTCTGCCAGCAACAGCTTCAATATCCCTGAATGAAATGCAGCCAGAAATCTAGTTGCGGTTGGGAGCACAGCTGTGTCGATAGACATGACTAGCCGTGATACTGTATTTTTACACGCAACCACCTTTTATTTAGGGTGATAAAACTGGCATCCTGGAAAATAAAGGAAAATGTTAACTTATAAGCAGAAACAAATAAGGCTAGTTAAGAAAAAGTGGATACACAATTTTATCTCAGAATTCCTCCTCTGAGCTGAACATTGCAGGTTTCAGAACAATCCCTGTAGGAACATATAAATGGGGAACTTACCTTTTAAGAATGCCAGATGATGTCCATGCAGGTAAATGGCACATAAATATGATCTGTTGGGATGCCACCAGTGCATGTCTTACTCCATTCAACCAATAACTTCATCCTCTGCCTGTTTGTTTACTTACTTAAGGGGAGACAACCCTTTTACTACCATATAGCTTCTTCATATTTCGATCCATCCATCGCTGTCATTAATTAGCTGCAACATCATTGTGAGCAAACTGTGCTGAATGAGGCATTTTATTTAGAGCACACCTTATTCTAAGTCATCCAACAATACATACACAAATATTAGCAGTATCTCCAATAGTCATATTAATATGAGCATATTGGAAAGATGTGTTCCCAGAATGCTTTAATGAGTAGTGTGTTATCATAACCAATAAGAGCAATGGTCAAAACTCTTAAAGCATCCTCAAGTCCTTCAAACTAAATGTCTAACCACATAATGTAAACAATTTTGCATTATGCTCTTGAAGTTTGTTTTGACCTTTAACTAGTCTGTTATCTACCATGTTACAATAAGTGCATCTCATAGAATCTGATCTATAGCTACAGCTAACAGAGCTTACTTTGCCTTACCGTAGTTGGAATCTGAGAAAAATAAGCCTCAAGTCCAGCTGAACACTAAAAATGACAAATTGTTGTTCATCCAATGAAAGAATGGAAGGATGTTCTTTGTGGTGATCTCCAGTTTGCAGGTATAAATGACCTGATTTGAGTAAATCACAGTTTTGTCGGCAGCACCTCTGCCTTGATCTGTATCCTTTTCATTTTGATAAAGGAGAATAGATATTGAAGGCCAATCTCAGAATCTCTCCCAGACGCCTCTGTTTTCTGTTTTAAATTCCCATTTTATGTCAGTAGTATAACAAAGGATTACTATGCCTCTAGAAGTTTGCAGACATTCCTGATTCCTGACCACCTGCGGGGATGATGAGAATGCTGTTGCAGAAGATAAATTACAAAGGCTTACTGACAGTCACTCCTCTTTCTCTCCCTCCTTCGCCCCACACTTTGCTCACTCACATGGACAGAAGGAGATGTCAGTGATGAAGTACGGGGAGTTCAGAGCGAGTTGGAAGCAGGGTTCTTGTCAGCTCAGCATCACCTTGATATAACCAAACTTGTCATAGGAGGGATTTTTCTTCATAAGTCTTTGACAGCACAGCTTTCCCATATATCTATATAGTGATCCTTCTTTGGCATCCCAATACTGAAATGCCTTGTCATGCTTCTCGTGGATTTGCTGGGTTTCTGACTGGCATACTCCTCCTCAGGACCCATTTTGTAGAGAAGTATGTTTGTAAACCATTTTCATGAACTATAGACTCCATGAACTATAGACAAAATGCATTTCCTGATGTTGCTAAACGCCATATTTAAAACGATGTTTCAAGCGCAAATGTCAGTCAGTTCGATTCAGTTACTGCAACACTGACTTTGTGTTGATTATGAAATAAGTAAATAAAATACATATACAAATAAAACAAATATTCAAGAGAAAATTGCCTGCATAGTTCCATAAATGGGTGCAAGTGCTTAAAGTAGATTGGTGTGATGTTCTCACTTGAAGACCAAACCATTCCATTATGAAAGTGTTTTTCTAAACCTAAAGTCGGAGTTGAACTAATTCAGATTGGATTTACAGTGAAAATAAAATGTGTTAAAGGTGCAGGTACCTTTTTTTTTTGCAGCATCCTTGGCAGCCTGTGACAAATCCACATTTGCAGATGAGAATGTGGAAAAGCACCAAACACAACAGTCAGTTTAAAAAAAAAAAAAAAAAAGAGCCAGTTTGTTTTCACAGACACCGTGGCTGTTACTCTAGTCTACTGCTCCACTGGTAGCAATTGAATGTAACTCCAGATGAGTCTTTATTATTGTCCGGTTGAAAAATATCATATTACCGTACTTGAGGGGAATTCATGCTTTGCGCAAACCCTCGTGTGCACGTGGACATGGATGAGGGGTGGACATGTGTTCCTATTCATACTAAGCCGATGGTTTCAGGCACTGTGGCACATGCGCAGTTGTGACATTTGCTGTGCGGACCTGATGAAAATGACGTCACTTGACCTTAGCGGATATGGGGACGTGCACGGCATGAATTGCCTCTTAAAGTGATGACATTAAGATTCGGTGTTTCCAAATATCACATCTAGTCTATTAAGGGAAGGGTGTTTCAGTATAAAGGTTGTCAGGGTTGAATGTTTTTATGGTCCCTGCAGAGGGTATGTATATGGATCTGCAAGTAAAGAGATGAATGTATGTGACAAAACAAGGAAGTGTAACATTTTGCACCACAGTTCCAAAATGGAAGCAGCAGCATATTACTACTGTAAAAATGTTTCAGATAGCAGTATGCAGCAGACGTTCGACTCAAGTGAACTAAGGCTTTAAAGTCTCTTTTTGTTGTGTCTTGGCACAGTCCAGATGGCGTGTAATCCGCTTGTGTATTGTAGCTTGCATTGTAGGTTATGCCTCAGCCTTTCATTCCTTCATCCATTCTGCCTACCGACCCTGTCTCATTCTACATCAGCATTCATTGTTCCTTGAAAATAGCTGTGACACCCATGTACTCTTTCTTGATGTCTGGTTAGGATAGTGAGCTTGATCCTATTATGTGTGAAATGCATTCAGTTCCAGAAGGGAAAACAAATTCCCTCAAAGCATCTTGCATGTTTTACCCCCATTTCTTTTTCACTGAAAAAATGACACAGAAGGCAGTTCAGAGGAGACAGCGAGAGAGATACAAAGTGATTTGCTGTTAACAGAATCTTTTCTCTTTCTGTCTCTCTCTGGTCATCTTTCGCTGCTGTCCTTGTCTCCTCAGTGGTAAGACTGTGAAGGACGGTAACGCTAAAGGCGAGACTGAGTTGAAGAACGCCACAGCCGAGGTGAAGACAGTTCCCAACGAGGCTCCCCAGGTGAACGGCAATGAAAGTAAAGCGTAACCTCCTCACCCGAAAGCACCAGAAAGAAGAGGGTGGTTGGGTTTGGATTTTTAAGGTTAAGAGAAGGGGGTCACCGTCACTGAAATCTCAAAGTAATGTCACACACCATACCACTGCTTCAGAACACCAAGAGAAAAAAGAAATCATGGGTCTCTTTCAACAGTGTCTTCTGACCAGGAAAACGTAAAGACCTCATACATGCCTTAGTTCCTTTTACAGTATGTCACTTTCTATTTGTTTACACAAAAAAGAGCAAAATACATAGGCCACTTAAATTCACTGACTGTTAAATACAGAAATCAACTATTTTCCTCTAGATAGCCATGGTTTGAAGTGTAGCATAATTTCACAGATTACTGCCTACGTTATGTACACATATGTAAGACTGGTGTATTACCAGTACAGCTATTCTTTATGCAGTATGGCCATCATCCTGGTAATGGATTTGGGTTTTTTTTTTCCTGTGTGGATATTTAGTTGGGTTTAAATAATATGCAGACATTGGTGCCAGTTTAGCCTCTTTTTTTTTATCTGGTATTTCCAGCCCTAGAGAGTAGAACACTAGCATGCCCCCTTTTTTAAGTTACTGTATTAGGGTATGCATTGCTGTCATTTGGTTCCATGTAGACATTTCTAAATGCTATCTCCATGTGGTTGTGGTCAAGAAATCATGTAGCCCGTAGCAAGAGAAAGATTTATCAAGCTGTAAATGTCTAGGGTTATGGGTTTCAACCCGGTCTCCTTTAAAAATGATGTTTATATACCTTTGCGCAATATATTTTGGAAAGAATGATACATTATTGTGTTGCATATGATAAAAGGGGAGGTGATCAGGCTTGATGGTGAGTGTACAAGATGAAGGACAACATGTTTTGTGTGCTGTCATGCATGTTGTTAGGTCTAGAATACTAAAATTGCTTGGTTAAGTTTTGGGAAAGGTGATGGTTGAGACAACATACATACATTGCTGCTGATCATGTCAGGTGTATTCAGTATGAAAACTTTCTAAAATGTTTACTTAATATGTTGATTAAAAAAAATTGTTTCCTTCAGAAGATAGTTGTTGTTGCAAATTCTGTAGCTGTATATGAACATGATTTTTAGGAAATAGGGATGGGGTACGGTTTAGGATATGGTTGCATTTAAGATTATAGCTGTGTTCCTTTTCAGGGTCAGCGTCCCTCAAAATTCCAACCATGTCCCATTGCAAAGGGGAAATACTGCCTTACTTACCTGGATTTGATTGAAACTACTATTGCATTTATTATGTCTTGCTTTCAATTGTTCATACTGCTTCCAGTCCTCATCAGTCTGCTAAGTCAGAAAAAATAATACGACCAAATATACAAGGTGTATTCATACGGTCACTGGTCAGTGTATTATATGCAAAGGACTGATGATAAGGGATGTTATATGATGTAAATAATGGGAGCTAGGCTTAAAGTCCACTGTTTCTTCTTTGTGGTAGCTGTGTTGTGAATGTTAATTAAATTATATGGATAGATTTAGCGGTAACATTGTGCACTGTTTGCTAGTTATCCATCATGTCTTGAATTCACCACAACTGTGCCTGAACTGTGAACTATCCCAGGCTAATTCCTACTTGCAGTTTTTGGCCTCTGGAGTTGATGAGGGCCACGTGTTAGTTTTGGTCTTTGTGAAGCTTGAATGATGATGCTAAAGTGGAGCCTCTGTAAACCGTCTCATCTTGTAAGCCCACTAGCCATCAGTGCCATCCTTTGTAAACCACATACAACAGAGGAGTTGGCGCCTGTAATGGGACACAGCTTACAGCATGTGTGTGTTGGTTTTCTTTAGGTTAATGTCAAAACACACTTTCTGCAACCTGCAGCTGGTCTCATATATTCCGCTCCAATCTGTAATGTTCACTGCTTACAACTGAAAGATCTGCAGGCTTAGCTTGCTGAGATTTGTTTACAGTGCGAGTCACCAAACATCTGGTCCTATCAGCCATTGTTTTCTCACTTTTACCACAACTGTTGTCGGTGTGAATTTGTGTCATCACTGCCTCCACCATCTTGCAGTTAAGTCTTTAGTTTGTGCCTACAGTGATATAACGTAGTACAGTCTATCACATTATCTTAAACTCATTTTATCACCAAATTTGTAGTACAAGGTTCAAGGCACCAGTCTTTATCTGTTACACCTGGTCAGATGTTACACACGTTCTTTAAAAAGTAAAGCAAATTCACATTTAAGTTATAAAATAATACAAAGAAAATACACCTAGTTCTGTGTAATTTTTTTGTTGTGCATTTGTTTGGAGTTTGATTTCAGTAGTATTACTTAAAGGACCACACAAATTTATTTGGGCAGTTTGGCACATTGGTCAGTTTGCCCAGTGTCTGAGAGGACTGATTCAGTATCTCAGTCTCCGATAGAAATCTCTGTTCATTTTACATGTCAAATAGCCACAGACAGCTGCCATTGTAGTTAGCATAAGTGCTAGGTAGCCAAGGTCTGTAGTTTATTTTATTTGATGAAAATACATCATTTGTTTCCCAGAAACAAAAAAGGAAACTGCATTTGTTTTTGCATGTGGCAGCATCCTCACTGTGTTTGGTAGTGCTAGTCTAAGTGTGGATGATGAACTAAAACACTGCAAAAAGCATACAATAAGCTGGTCAAGTGATCATCAACTATTTCTTGTTGCCTGTAATAGTTGATTTGTATTTCTGTGGAGCAGCCTAATGCTGGCCCTGCTCTGATTGTTGTAGGCATTTTGAGCATAGGGATCTTGTCCACAAGTATGTGTAACCTCATTCATCGCTTTCACCAGCGCCACACTGTCTCTGTCCACCTTACAGACCAGCTCAGACCATCAACCAGTCAGGTCTACCAACATGCATGCAACAAGTACAGTTTCTTACCAGCTTTTTATGTTTTTATACTCTTGGTGTATAAAGGACACTATCAAATTTTTTATGCCAATTGGCTTTGGTTATTTAGCACACTTTGTGCCTGCAGTGATGTGACAGTCCAAAGCCTAAACTGTTACAGGGCCTAAGAATCCCCAAGGGAAACTGAGTAGCATAACTCTGTTTGGCTTAAATTGAGATTTTAATATTATGTCTGTATATGAATTACACTCCTAAATATATAGTGTAAGCATAACCTTTCTGTGGTCCTTTTTTCAACAAAACAAAAATGAATAAAAATTAAATTTGGCCTCTTTCAACTAGCCATGAAGTAAATTGGTCTGGAGTTTAAAGGTCATTTTTATGCATAAAAAAATCAGTGAGAGGACCAAATGTTTTCCTGAGCCATAGTACCCAGCTGTGGATTTGGAGGAATAAGTCTGGTTGTCCTTTTTTTTTTTTTTTGTACAGTGTTCTTTCCACTTTAGACTGCAAGCTAGTACACTGTGAATGTGTGAATCCATTGTGTCCTTTGTCATGGAGTTGAGCAAATAGTTTGAGTGTGAAAAGATGTAGCCAATAGTGTGCAACGGAATTCCCAATGCCATTGTACAGAAGTCCAACAGCAGCAAACTAGACAGACACAGTGCCTTTGAATAAGAAAATGGTGGCGTGCATTCATTTCTTCTCAGCATCTGTCTATTAAAAGTGTCATCTTCTTTCTGCCAATTTGCTTTTTCATTTACTACATTTCACAATTGTAAATTAAGCAATGCATTGTTTAAATTGTCTGATATATTCTGAATGGCTGCATTAATGTGTTCCGATATACTGTATATGATGGGTTCTTTACACTTGTTTTAGTTTATTACAATTTAGGTCTTACGAGGTTTGAATTTCATTTCTGTCATCATAATGACAGAAATGAACTTAATTGGTAAAATTTATGGATGCATAAATACATTTTACAAATGAAAGGGCAAAAAGACACAATCTGAAAAAGATCCAACAGTAATTTGCTTCAATCCAAAACCAAATAAGTCACTTAGATAATCTGACTCAGCTGTTGGCTTGTTAAACACTTATCTGTTTCTTGTCAGATTTTGTTACTCTAATTTTGTCATGTTCCTGGGACTCGCCAGTTAGCACCGCAAGCAATAGAAAGATGGTCAAAACAACAAAATTCAGACCCATGTTGTAATAAACTGGAGGAAATATTTGGGTATATTTGACTCTTCATCCTAGAGAACGGCATCACGAGAACAAAATCTAGCAAACATCGTGTCGAAGTACAAGACACAGTGACACTTTCCTCAGGTTGCATAATTTCTAAAATATCAGAAATGAATCAAGTTGGATTTGTCATGAGCAAGCATGCAAAATATATTAGAAATTGGTATTATTACTATTACTGCTTTTGATATGGAAATAATGAAGGCTTCATGTATTGTATTGACTTTTTTGCAGTTGTTATGTAACTTGTCCTCTTTCCAGGCCTTTTTTGTTTGCTTCACAAAAAAAAAACTTTTTGCTTCATAAAGCTCTAAAATGTAATAAAAAGTGAGAACTGTCATAAGCAAATTTTCAATTTCTGCTGAAATACATGGTGAAAATGTACAAAAATAAACATGAGGGGGTTTTTTTCTTTTTTTTTTTTTTTGGTTTTGCTTGTTTTGTCCAATACTAGCTTCAAATGCTTTGCAAATGTGGGACCAATTTTTGTGCAAGTTTACATGAAAACTTTTGTACCCATGTCAACTCCTGAAATTCATTGGACAAGGACGACAGTGGGTGGACTAGTTTTCCTTGCTGAGATACCTCAAAAATGCAAGAATGACCCAATAGTAGCCTTGCATTTTTCTGAGTCCAGCACTTGATTCAGTCAGAATAAAGACATCTGGAAAATCTTTTCATCTTGCTCAGTATTTGCAAGGAATAGAAAAGAACCATGAATTTTCCAGGGTAAAAAAAACAAACGCATCCTCCTAAGGTGTTTGTTGCTTCACTTCAACTGCTTCATTCTTGAGTGGGTACAGCTCTTATACAGTGCGTCAAACATACAATGCTAGTCTTATGTGTATCTTAAACCTGCAGGGATGCATGCTCAGCTGTACAAGACCTTTTAATGATTCTAAGCAGCAAACAAGCAAAAGTATTGCAGCAGAGGCAGCACTTTGACAGCGCAGACTTTGTTCCATAAGCTGATGTCTCAGCACTAGCGTTCCTTCATCAGAGCTTAGATTGGTAGGCTACTATTCCTCTGTCCACGGTCACCAATGTAAATAAGGAATACTAACCGAGGAAAGAAAGAAAAACACGTTTTGACTTTGCATTCCGCCAGAAATTCTTGTGTTCAATAAAGTTAAAGAAAAAAAGCACTATTGTACAACTTTTATTTTTCAACAATATCAATGTGTGATAATTGCCACATACATATACAGGTACTATACTGTATATATATGATTACATGAGGTATAGTATTCCAGTATTGTAACACTTTTGCACCCAGTTAACAAACATATTAAATATGATTGTGTTGAAATACAGCCTTCAAGGTTCAAGTCTGAACAGTAAGAAAAGAAATCTTTCTAGAACCATAAAAACATCATAAATAAGCCTCATATTTTTTCATTGCTTTATTAGATTAAAGCAGTTGAAATGATTTAAATAGAGAATCCTCTATGCATTTTGCATTTCTAAGAAATATATATCAACTATAAGTAGAAATTGAATGCCATTTGTTTGTTTCCATTTTCAACTCAATATTGTACATTAGCCCAACATGGACATAAAAAATGTTATTGTATTTGCTCTGTGAAAAATAAAACAGTGAGACATGTAACCACAGTTCATGAGAATCTGATTAACAGTGTAGTAGTATAACACTGTTCTGTCATGTCATTGTACTTGAGTGTTAAATTGAGATATTTTCATAAACAGAGCAAATACAAGCAACATACATACACAAATACACTGACATTTTTAACCAATATCATTCAACCAAGTAAAACTCGTTTTTAATGTTATGCAGTTCTGTATATGGACACTAGAGGGCAGCATGTTCCCACTCTAGACACTGAGGGTGCTGTTCAACAGCATATAACAGCAAAATCACAGGGGTCACGTCTTAATATGCAAAATGATTTACACAGTACAACTTCCTTTAATGTCAGAAATGATCATTGATATTGAATTCATAGTAGTTTTATTTCATTATGATCTAAGGAACTAGAGAGAAATTCCGATGAATGTCTGATTAGAGCATCTTCACTCGACATACTGTACATTTTATACAACTCAGTAATTAAAATTGATCACAGTGACCACATGAATCCCTCACTGAGCTTTACAAAGACCTGCTGAAAGGTCTTTATTGATCTATAGTAATCACTTATTTGTCCAAAAGGTGGCAGACTAACTCAAATGAACAGAAATGTCTATACAGTATGTTCTATAGAGGAAACACCTTTAAATGTTGGTTAAAATATCAGTATAGCTACAAATTAAAGTTGTACTTTTTGTAAAGCATAAAGTGCAGAGTGCAGTTTTATTTCCACTGAGTTATAGAAGACATCAATGTTTAACTATCTTTAAAGGCTCTGATTTTATAAAACTCTAAAAATCCATTACAAGAAGTGTCACACTGGATCTGCTCTGCATGTTTAGACTATATAATGACTCATTCTGTAATGAAAACAGCAGACAAGTTTAACCATGACACTGTGCTGGTAAATTTGAACTTAAAAATGTAAATGAAATTAAAGAAGCAAAATTCTCTAAGTCCTAAATGATCACCCTCATTTCATGTCAGGACTTCATTACATTCCTGTTTCCCCCTGCTGCAGACTTAATTGCATTGCTTCACCACTCTAACCCTCAACTTTGCACACACCAGATTAGGATCCTTTTCATGGGAGGTGTCCCTCCCCCATGTTATAACAATGGTCCACCGTGGTTCTCTGTGGCCTGAGATTGATCCTAAACACAGATAGTGAAACGCACAGAGCCTGTCTCCATGGCTGTTACCTGTCTCACCACCACCAGGTTTACTTCTACAGTTACACACACATGGCCAGTAGTGAATCCAGTAGCAAAGCCTTGTGTTAAGCTGTTCCATGTACATCTCATCTAGTTGTTGTTTAGAGGGGACATCACTTAATGTGTGGTGACGAGTTAATTAGTAAAGTAGCTGACTTTTTGTCTGCCTTTTGTCATTATCATCGGTGCCATTTGTGCAGTTTTCTGAATGATCATTATTGTCGGAAGCCAGATAGTAAAAAGGCAAAGTGAAGAAATTTATTTTCTATTATCTCTAAGGCATTTTGGACCCCTGCTGCTTTATTTATTTTGTTTTGTTTTTTCATTTGGTACTCTGCTATCACTAATCACATATTTTATTTTTTTTCCTTTATGAAACTTTCTTCTCATGTTTTCAGAAGTTGCAACCATCCTTCAGGAGTCATATGAGAGATGTGAAGATGTCATTTCAGCACAAGAGTAGAGGACATGCCAATTTATTCCCATATAGCAATGACATGTTTAATTAAAAAGCACGTATGGTCCAAGTTACTGTGGGTTCTTGATAAAATGTTGCCTCATTTTTAAAGCGCATAATAAAAGTTGTGCAATGCAGAATCAACAGTAAATCAGTGCTCCACTTCAGTTTGTTAGGATTTCAACACTGCTGTAGGTGGGTCTGTGGACTAACTGTTTTCTTCATCTGCCTGGGGGATGCACGCTCAGAATAAGGATCATCACCATACTGTGTGTCGATGGAATCATTTTCCACAGTAAAAGCCTGAAAACTAGTGTAAACAGTTCAGTGTATTCAGTGGAGCTCAAATGATGAAACAGAAGGCCATGCAGCTGTGTTGGGGAGAACAGAGTACTGTCTGAATGTACTTGAGGCTGAGCTGTAGTTTGTTTAGAAACATACAGAAACAGATGTGCGCAGAGCAGATCCTCGCTCCTTTTTCTTTATCATTTGATCATTGAAGATTTTTTTTTTTCTTTATGCAGAGCCACATTTCAGCCTCCTCATTTCCAGGCTGCTCCTGTTTTGTCCGTTATTTTGCTTTTGCCTCAGCACAGATGCAGCCAGCAGTGCATTCCTATCCAGAACACTGTGCTTCATCTCTGCTTTCCAACTTTAAATTGCATCAGTGTTACATCACAGCGCGCACACATGCACACACACACACACACACACGCTCACACACTTCCTGTTGTGGCCAACATACCAAAAACATTTTCCTCACACAATGTCCTTCCCTCCTCTTTCCCCCTTTTAGTCCAACATTTCCTGTAGTTGAGTGAAAATCATCTTCATTACATTTAGTCTTCTTCTTCTTTACTGTCATTGTAAACCTTCACCTAGATTTTTAAATTGATATTCAGACATTTGATGTGATGAATCCTCAATAACCTTTGAAGAAGATCATCAGTTTTCACCATTTTTATTGTGCACTGAAGAATAAAGCTTGACTGACTGATGGCACAAGTGTTTATATACCCTGATTTCTAACACTGAAGTCTGGCACAGGGGAAAATGACTAAAGTTAGGGATTGTCATCAAAGTGGATGCAAAATGCTCAAGCAAGCTTTTCAGATTTCTGTTATCATTTGTGTCTTTTAGAGACACAATAAACCAACTGTATATTTGGGCCTACTTTTAGACCATAGCACTATTTTATTCATAGATCTTGTTTTTGGTTTGCTTATAGCACAGCTTTGTTTTACAGTGACTTATGACAGCACTTATTATTACTCATGCCCACACATTATGAACAATTAAAAAACCCTTTACTTAATTACACTTAAGGATTACCTTATTTCGTTTTTGGAGGAAAGGCTGAAAAAAAACACCCTAGTAAGTAACATCTGAGATATTTGAAGCTGTCATGCACAAACAGCATGTTTAAAATCTAACCACAGATTTTCATTGCTGTTCAAGTCAGGGGACACTAAGGGCTTTTCCAAAACTGGAGTTTGAGGTTTGCTTTGGATCATTATCCTGCCAGCCTCTTTTCACTTTTACTTTCTTGACTGACTACAAGATATTAGCATCCAGAATTTGCTAATATTTAGTGGAATTCATTCTTCCCTCTATCTGTGCAATGTTTTCTGTGCTTCTGGCTGCCACACAACCTCAAAGCAGAATATTTCCACCTCAGTGGCTGCCAGCTGGCGAGGTATTCTTTTCATAAAATACTGCTCCATTTTTCTCCAGAAATACTTTTGGCGATTGTGGCCAAAGAACTTAAATTTAATTTAATCTGTTTACAGTACTTGTTTCCAAAGTGACTTGGGCTTATCCAGATGTTGCTCTGCATTCTTCAGATGTTGACTCTTATAATTAGGCCACAGATAAAGTTTCCTTCTGCTGATTTTTTCATAAAGACCCTGTTTGTGTGTCAACACTGTACAGTGGAACATTGCACCACCACCCTAAAGATATACTGTATCTTCCCACAGGTACATTGCAGTCATATGGAGGTTTTGTGTATATGACCAAATTGTTTTTTGTTTTGTTTGGGGTTTTTTTTGGTCTTCCAGATCTTGTTTTCACAGCTCCCCTTCACTGACATTTCTTAATGACATTTCAGACAGTGGAAGCTGGAAGCTCTTCAATATCTTATAACTTTTTAATGATGTCTTTTTTTTCCATTTGGTCAGTGGTTAAAGTCCCTTTACTTTAAACAACTCTTGCTTTTTGTGTTTGTGCTTTGCTACCAGGGATAGATCCAGCATACTGTACTGTCTGTAGAGACTGTAGTCTTTATTCCAAGATGGACTTCTTATCAGCATTGTGAAAAGCAGATTGGCAGACTTTTTGGGGCAAACTGAGAAAAAGGGTTGATCAGTAACTATAACTGACAGAATAGCACAATAAACCTTTATTTAGATAAAACATTTTATAAGCAATTACTGTACCATGGAAATTTCACATATGTGAATGTGTCATTCTGTTTTTATTCTTTCAAAGAAGTACACCAGTTCTGTCAAATTACAGACCCCTCAGTTTTTGATCAGCAAATCTTCAAAAGTAGGCTTCTTCAAAGAAATAACTTCCCACTTCACTTTTTAAGCTGAACAAAAACTCCTCTTAAATGAATGGCTTTTGCTCACAGCTTGTGGCCGCAGCTGGGATTATTGTTGCCTCCTCTTGTCCTTTGGCCACAGAACTGACAGACAGAGGATGAAGGGCGATGGAGGGGGGCTGACACAACAGGTACACACATGAAACAACTCTAATTATTGCCCTCCACCCCTCTCAACACCACCGTTGGACTTGACAAAGTGTGGTTTAGTTTAATTTATCTTTCTTTTATTTTATTTTTTTTCATGTGATGGACTCACAGAGAAAAGTTCAATCCAAGAGGATTTGATTCTTGTTTTTGCTTTAAAGAAGATCACAGACTATCTGAATTGCACAGCACAATGATTATTCATAAGGACATGGACAGAAAAAGAAACAAAAACTCATAACAACCACTTCAGGGATAGATAGGTTAGATGGATAGATGGACATATACACAGTCCATCCACCCAACCGTCCTTGTCCATAACAGATCACGTTATTTTTGCT